GTAAGTTATTAACATGTTTATACTGTATTATAGTTTTTTGTTGTTGTATTTATTTTTATTTTATATTAAATAGAAATTTTTATTAAATTTCTAAAAAAAGGAATAAAAGAATATCAGATATTTTGATAATGATTATAAACAATTTAAATAAACTTTTTCAGTTCTTTTTATGATTAGCTTAATTATTGTCATAGTGCATAGCAAGCAATAAGTTTTATATAAAAATAATTTCTAAGTTTAATATAGTATTATGTATATTAGGGATTTTTAAAATAATATAAATATTATTAGTAGTTATAATTAATAAAAAATTAGTAAAGTACTGTTTTAAATAGTTTTTTGACAATTACTTAAAGTAAATTACTTTAACTTACTTTAAAAATTTATTTTCTTAAAAAAATACTTAATTTTTAGAATTATCTTATATTATTGTATTCATAGTTTTAAGTCATGAACTTTACCTAGTCATAAGTTATAGACTTAAGAAGAAATTTCATTAATTTCTTTCTACAGGATTTTATACTCTCTAAACTAATAATTTTTGAGAATAAAGTAAATTGTTTATATTAATATTGTTAATTTTCTAGCTTCTTCTTTTTAATATCAAATATTAATTCACTCTCAAATAAGCTGTTAGTAACTATTATTTAAATTAGGAGTTGATAGAAAGTAAAGAGTTAAAGAGTTCAAAATTGGTTGACAGGAAACTTGCTTTACTTTAAGAAAAACTGTAAACTGTATGAGTCAGTAAAACATATAAGACAGTAGAAAGTTCCAAGGCACTGATCATTGTCTGTCTACTCGGCTAAAAATTTGGGGATTCCAACATGGACCTCTCAGATTTTGATGAAACTTGGTGGGTTGGTTTATATCAATGAGAAAAGCAATTCCTAAAAATTTCAACTTAAAATTTTTTGTGGTTTATGAGATATCGCCATTTGAAATTTCTGTTTTTTTAAAAATTAAAACTTTATTAGCAAAAACATGTTTTGTTCATACTTTGAAGCTCTGTATTTTAAAAACAAAAATTCAGTAAACCTTCTAGTTTTTTTTCTTATTTGCAACTGTAGACTTACTTTGTTAATACCTTGACATTGATTTTTTTAATGTCATATTTTATCCATAATGGCTGCCAAAAAAACCTTCAAAATTGTTTGCAGATATAAAAAGTTGATTTTTGATGGATCAATTTACATAATTAGCAACTTAAAAAGTGAAAAGATATATCTTTTTAGTTTCTATATATGATAGACTTCCTAATATTTAAAAATTTGCTGATAACATATGATTCACAAAGAAATAATGGACTCCTAAAAATGGCTCTGTGTAAAACTTTAAAAATTCTGCCTTCCCTTAAAACCACCGGTAACCTAGGATCTACACTGATTTTCATAATAAATTTTTTTTACTGATTTAACAGACTTTATCAAAGTGATTTCAGAAAAAAAATTAGTGGGTACTCATGGGGAAGTAAAAAAATCAGAGTGAGCATGAAGTTGGCACAAGATGCATTAAAAAAAGATAAAAATATAGGTATTGATGTACTTTAGTTTTCATTATCTACTGCAATGCAAAATATGTTTAAAAGTATATCATAATCATTACTAAAAATAAGCTATAAAGTAAGACTGAATTAAACTCAATTTTAGAATAGCCTTAGTTGCCTCCCCACCCCCTGTCCATTTACTTTTTAACATGCATATTTTTGCATAGAACATTCTTATCATAAGAAGAACTTTTTTCTTGATTAATTTTATTAATTATTTATTAAACATTTTACCTTAGCAGTGTGTCATATAAAAGCTGTGACATTTAGTTTGTAAAGTTAGATACTAATTAGAGCACATATTAAAGTAGCACATTAGGTAAATAATGGAAATAAAGACTTTGTTTTATTCTTATTATCTGCCCAATACATATTTGTTTTCATATCACTTATTTACTCACTATTTTATATTCTGACTATAAATTTTGTATAATTTTTTCTGAAGCATTCGCTATTCTGCCCTTCCTAATTTATGTGACTATCATCATTTGAATTTAGCTTACAGATTATACCAAGTGATAAGAGTTATTTGATTTGTCGTCAAAATACACAAGTTTATTATGTAATATCTATTATGTAATAAATATATTACATATTATTATTTAATAAAAAATCATTATAAAAGTTGAATCATTCAAATATGCTTTAATAAAAAATTTAGATTGATCAAATTAATAACATTTTTGCTATGTTGTTATATATATTTTTTAATACATATACTATTGTACAAATGTAGTATTTCAGTTATTTCATGAGCTGATAGTTCATAGCATCTACCAGTTGCTGATTGCACTTTTAAAGATAAAATTTTGCATAGAACATGTATAGTTGGAACCCAGCAAATATCTTCCCTATGTGGCCAAGTAAAAGTGAGTAAAACGACTGCTTCATGAACTTTATAAGGATATTTTGGTTTTCTTCAGATATTGCCACAATTTTACCTAAACACATGCTATATAAATTCCTGGTGAAAGATAGGCAAGTGGAATTGTATAGTTCTGCTGCATTGTTGAAATATTTACATTAGTAAACGCATTGTCGAACAACATCCGTCTTATCTGTTAAGTTGTTAAGGATTTTGGTATAAAATAATGGTGATTTCTTGTTCCTGGAATTGTTGAAAGAGTAGCATAACATTCTTCTAATTTTAAATTTATGCAATATAATGTAACTGCATCATTTGAAATGGATTGAAAATGTATTCCTTTAATGTTTTGTCTACACCAATCATACATTTTCTCAGATGAATTGTTAGGATTAGTTAGTGATTTTAAACTTGCCAATGCTATAAATCTTTTGACAGTGCCCCCAACACCATCACAAGCACTCTTTCCATGCAATGTAGCAAAAAAATGCCATTCAGCAGGTACCTCATGATCTTATTCATGGTGACATAAGTTAGATGTTTTTATAATTTTTGTATTGTGAACTTGCACCACCACTGAAATAAATGCAATGATTGAAGTAGGTTATGAATTCTTTTAAATGTTTTAATACTTCATGAATGAAACAATGAACTGAGTTTGTATTGTGTTGCAAATGATCTGAGATGATACAAATACTTATACATTTTATCTTATTTTCTTCATTTTCTTCCATAAAGTAAACAACAAAAGGATGCAATGTTGCTTGTTCTAATGGAAATCTTGTACTGCATCTTGAATTAAAAAACTATAATTTTCAGTAAGGTCTAGTAATATTAAAATATGATTACTTTTTATTGTGTGTTTTTTAGATGATGCAAATATGTTGCTTGATTTTTGGCTATAAAGTGATGTAGGCCGTAGGCCAAAACATAAAAACATGCTTTAAAATGAATTTTCGTGGTGCAGTCGTGAGCTCTAAAAAGTTTTAATGCAAATGAATGTTTAGGGTGATTCTAAATTAAAAATTTATCTGTTTAAAACCCCACAGTTTTTGATATAACAAGCTTTAAAAAACCATCAAAACGATCTATCGATTTTTATCGATTTTTGGTGTTGACTATTTTAAAATATTTATTTTTTTCCAGAATGTAATTGGATTATCAATTGCTAATAGTTTTAACAATTTTTTTTTAAAAATAATTAATAAAGAAAAGTATTGCATTAACGTGTTATTATCGTGTCAAAATATCGGCGTTATCAATTTATAACCGATTTAGACAGTTGAATACTGTTTAACAATATGATTCTATTTAAAAAAAGTGTTTTAAATATACGTTAATACAAAAATTAAAAACCATTAGATAAAAATAATGAATTTAGTTTAAATAAGATCATCTTCTAAAAACTCATCTTCGTATTCATTGAAATCCTCACCACCATTATCATAAGCATCATCATCATCAGAAGCAGTGTTATCACACTTTGTGCAGCTACATAACATATATTCTGTTGCATAACAAAAACTAAAAAATCTGTCCATCTAATTGGCAACTGAACCCTAGGGTTCAAACCTGGAGAATTGCGTTTCAAACTCAAAGAACTAACCTAAATATATAATCAATCTTAAAAAAATCCACATATATATCAATCACTTGATTAAAAAACAACAACCTGTAAATGCATGGAAACCAATAAATGCCTGACACCAATTTTCATTCCAATGCTGTATGATAGCACTTATTGAGACAATTCTTCTTTTATTTTCACTTCCAGTAAGAAAGTATAGACTACTATCAATCGTAAAAGCATTACTTAAGTTTATTACAAACACATCAGTATCCGGACTTTAAATGATGATATTTTTAAACCCATACATGATGGTGTGTTCAACATGAGCTAAAAGACATGTATCTGCTTCTTCATGGTTGCAGTGCAAAGCAGCTACTTCACTTGCAACAACCGTTTTTAATATAGGGACAAATTGATGACAAAATTCACTGTGTGTTATGTATACTGGAATTCCACAAAATAAACTAGGATCACTTAACTGCCAGCTTTGATATAAAAAGTCTACCAAATCTTCTATGTTACTTCCAACAGACATGTATTTTTTACACTGCTTTGGAACTTTTTGGTTAGGGTTCATAATTTTGACTATCTGGCTTCCCAGTGAAGCTCTTTTGTCTTGTTCTGGATCTTTTATACTGACTTCAGGATATCTGTTACTTACAAAATCAATGCAAGATGATCTAAAAGAGTTTCCCATAGAAATAATTGTACACAGAATAAAATCAGACAACTCTTTAAATGTTAGGTGATGATTTTTAATGTCTGTAGTAATGCCATAGCATCAATCATCAAAGCATTACCTTTTTCAACATTATCTACTATAGTATTAATGACTGGAGTTTCAATTAAGCTGATTAATTTGCTTTTCTGTGTTTTTACTAAGCCACCAGCTGTTGTAGCTAAAAGCACTGGCTATGGATGAAGAGGATACTTTAAAACTTCTCTTATCTCAACATTTCTGGATTTGGCAATTAGAATTAGTTTTGCAAACAAATCTTTTGTGTTTTTTACTGTAGCTA